AGCTCATCATTGACAAACAACATCGGCATCCTTGAAGGGTACAGACAGCTGCTCAATAAACAAAATAAAACTGGAAAAAAAATGTCATCAAATCTTAACTTTTTTTGGTGCCATTATGTTGCTACAGGAAAAATGCATGCCCTAAAAATTCTGACTGATTTCCTTGCTAGAGCTTTACCACAGATTTGTAATGCTCTTTAAATACACTAAATGCCATATAATAAATCTACCTAGGTGGCAGCTTGTGCTCCACAATTTTCTCCTGTATGAAATATTGCTGCCGCAGCACCCACATCTGGTCTTGCAGTCTCGCTTGTCAATCTTGTAATACGTGGCCATCAGTATTTTTATCAGTTGAATTTTTTGTATGTAACCATATATTATTGTCATTGTTTTTGCAACTTTACAGAGACATCTGCCATAAATACTAAACATATTAAACAACAAAATTAGATAATTATGATTAATGACTAATGTATACAGGCTATTTGACTGGAAATTCATTATCATCCATGTGTTTATTTCTACAGTGTAAACTTCTTCTTCAACTTCGTTAACTGGCTGTGAATTCTGGTGGAAAGTCCCGGTAGATCGACCATTTGGACTTTTGACTTTTATCTGGACCTGAATTTTGCGTGTACAACAATTTTACTGGCTTTTACCATTCCCTGCCTCACGGGCAAATGTACTCCAACTTCGAGGGAATGCAGTGTAAACATACATCAGGTTATACTCCTGTCATTTGTGCAACCTTGCAGAGACATCTTCTATTACTATTAAACATGCGAACAGAATTAAACAAGAGACAACTCATCATCATCATGCTGTTAGGTTTCGCCATCACACAAAATCACCAGAATAACAGATCAGTTCAATATTTTGTGGTCTCGCTCCATCCATCTCTTTGCCTTTTTCTTGAGAAAACTGCAGCATGAATATTATTATACAACGGCACATGGGATATGCATTTTTAATGTCTGATGCAAACATAGCTACTACATCCACTGACTGTCCAGCTCATACAAGCAAAACTAATAGCAAAATTAAAGATTAATCCCTTATCATTCATCTCTTTTACCGTTCTACTTACAGTCAACATGCATCTAAAGCATAGGAGAAGAGGGGGTTAGGGAAACAAACAGTGTTATAAATTCACACATAACATAATGAGGTTTGTGTAACAGCACACCCAAACAATTGGTCCATAAAACTTGTCTGGAATTCATAAAACACGCAGCACTCACAGTTTAAAAGGAACATGAACATAAATGAAGCACAATCCCCATAAACATTTATTCTTGGGCAGCTTTTTCCAGCCTCTGTAACCTATATGAAATCAGAAAGCAACACTGTTGTCCCCACAGGGGAACACACACACACTGTCCCTTAACAAGAATTTTAAGGACTTGCTGAAATTGGATATTTTTGGCAGCCTAGCTTTAAACCATAACACAACATGCCAACTGCCATTTTAAGGGTGGACAAAGTAAAAATCTGAAAAAATGTTGGCATTACAGCATATGTATGTTCTATCTCTTCACCAGTCAATATCAATAACTGTAGACAGAATAGACAAAATAATTCTTAAGTTTCCTAACAGGACGAGTCATGATTGTTAGTTTCCTACTGAAGACAGGAAAGTGCAGTTTGTTGGGGCAAAGCTGATTCATAAACTACAAAACTGCAAGAAAGTCACCGCTACCCACTGTGATTATGGCAATTAGCAAATGTCTGGAGAACGAGCAAGCTTGTCTACAGCATCAGAAACAAAGTAAATATTATTTCCCTGGAACTTATTGTCTGGAGAACTAGTGAGCATGCTTGTCTACAGAGTTAGAAACAAAGTAAATATTAGTTCCCTGGAACCCATTGTCCAGAGAACTAACGAGCATGCATGTCTACAGAATCAGAAATGAAGTAAATTATTAGTTCCCTGGGACTCACTGTCTGGAGAACTAATGAACATGCTTTGTCTACAGAGTCAGAAACAAATTCAATATCAGTTCCTGATTCTTTTAAACCACATGAAAGTAAAGAATTCAAATCCAGGCTGTTCTACACACAATGACACATGAAACATACTGGTTAATTTATCAGTCACATTTCCTCGCATACCTATCTATTGCAGAAAATATTTCTTTAAATCTAGGTTAAGTAATGACTGCTTATGCACATGACAGAAAACTGTGACATCATTATCAGCTGTTTCACCTGGCAGTTAAGCAACCTCCCATACAAATATAAAGAGAAACATACAGGGATCTTGTCACTATACTGGGGTAGAAAGCAAGAGACTTGGAGAGACAATCCCCCCCATATAATCTGTCCAGGAATCATATATGGACGAATACAGTTTTATACACCCATTTCCTTTCCCATCGTTCATACAAAATTAACATTAACAATATGTTTAAATAGTCTTGAAACAGATGCCACTGACTTGGAAAAGACACCAGACTCTACCGACATATAAATCGTTGGTGAAAGGCAAACAGTAGTTTCTAATTATGCCTGGATGTTTGTGTGTACGACTAGAGGAACTTGACCACACAAACTGGCAAGAGAAACTCAGACAGAAACTGACAATTAGCAGACCTAGATTTGTAAGGTATGTATAGGATGGATGTTGAATATATTTCAAATAAAATGGCCAGACAGACGACTTAAATTTACTATAGAGTCTATGCTTATGTCTATATTTCACTGTTAAAATTTTTTTTTTTTTTTTACACATTTACCAAGGTTTAATTTCAATATAAAACATTCAAGTATTCCATCAAATGTGCAGGGAGACAACTGAATCAGCAGCCACGCATCTGAACCTCATCAGTTAAAAATTGCTAAGGGACATTACCAATATCTCCAATATAAATTTCACTGCGCAAAGCACACAGTTAGAAGTTTCCCAGAGTTCTTCTTCTGCATTTATCCGGAGATGTAAATGTGCTTTGTCAATTTACAGCATGGCTGTGATATTTGCACCTTTTCGGCCAACACATCCGTCTTGTGTTGGCATTTGTTGACCGGGTTAGCCTTCCCAGTTTTCCTGGGTTGAGGTTTCATCAAACAACAATGGCGTGGACAAATCAGTGAAGGCAATTCCATGAAAAAAAACATCCATCTGAACCCAAGTAATTGAAATTTGTATTTCTTCTGGGTTCGATATCAGTCATGCTAAACATTGAGTCCCGTCTGGGTCACAAATAGGATTGTGCGTTTAAGGTCACCACCGGTCCCCCATAGCTTCTCTTGCAATGTGGCTCCTTTGGGCCAGATCCACAGTCTTTGCTGGGAGAGGTAAGGGCAGTACTGCAGTATGTGTTCAGGGGTTTGTCTTTCTGCTCCACAATCACAGGCAGCAGATTCTTTTATGCCCATCCTGTACAAGTGTGCTCGAAGACCACAGTGTCCAGTCCGAAGTCTAAGAATTGATGTTTGTTCTTTCCTGTTGAGTTTGTTTATGCTGTCACTCTCTGGTCTGTAATCTCCATTCTGCCTTCTCCACTCCCGCTTGAAAGACTGCTTTAGCGCTGTTTTGGTTTCCTTGTAGCTGTGTGGTGGATGAGGTTGTGGAAGATTACTCCCAGCTTTTGCCAACTCATCTGCTCTCTCATTTCCTTGAATACCACAGTGGGCTGGTATCCACTGCAAGACCAGTTCTGCTTCCTTGGAGAGTAAGCCAATGCTGGTCCTTAGATCAGCAATTATTTTGTCTTGTTTTTTGCTGGATAGTGCTTGGAGAACAGACAATGAGTCGCTAAGTATAACGAAATTTGTATTAAAATGTTACATTCAAGACAGTATTATACTCTATATTTTAAATGCCACAATGGGAAATGAGTTCAAAGAATATCAACAGAGTCCTAGCTTATGTTTCTATGATAAACGTACACCACTTGAGTTATGCAGGGTGTTCCATAAACTTTCACACATACGAAAAATACAACTGCTTTAAAAGGACATTTCAATGCATGTCCTTCACTGACGAAAAATACATTTAAGCACAGCTAGAGTTACGCTGGTAATGGCGTTGCTGACATGTTTATTTTTCCTATATATGGAAATTATGTTTATTTTTTTTGTTTTTTTTAATGTATGGAAACTTGTCAGGATCTGTGGCTTAAGCGCTGCGAATGAGCTTCGTAATGCTGTGTTCGATCCCAGCTGCGGACGGGTTGTCTTGAATTGGTTTCGACAGTGGTACCAAGAGCTTACTGTTCAGAAGCAAGGCAAACTACTGAATGTACAATTTGCCCAGAAGAACCACTAACGCTTTAAAAAAAATGCTTGGGTTGGTTCTGCAATATCCTGTAAAGCAGCGGTTCTCAACCTGTGGGTCGCGACCCCTTTACAGGGGTCGCCTAAGACTAGGAAAATATATATTCATTAAAGTTATGAAGTAGTAACAAAAATAACTGTGTGTCTGGAGGTCAACAAAACTGGAGGACAGTAGTAATGGGTCGCGGCATTAGGAAGGCAGAGAACCACTGCTGCACTATAGATACGCAGACACACCACACACTTTTATATATTCACATAATCATTTGAAATTATGAATTTATTTACACTCACTGACTTCAACAATCACTTTTCCTATTCAAAACATCTGTCCTAAATTTAGCAAAATTCTGAGTTAATAGTAACAGTTAAAAATACAAGATGCAAAACAATAATAATCTGTGAATGGCAAGCAGAATTCTCAATGCAGCAGATGTAACAATTACGCCTGATTTCTTTTAATTTGACAAATACTTTCAAGTTCTAACATACCAAATTAACTCCTTCCTAAACAGTTTACAATTATTCAAAACAAAAACAATTTGCAAACTACTTATCTTAACCACAATTAACATAAGTTTATTCATCCCAAACTGTGTCATCAGGTGCATTACTACAAATCATTTCTAGTCTTTTTCCCATAACAAATTAAAAGAAAACCTGCCTGGAAAGTTGGCAGCTACTCTAACCAAATTAAAAAACGAAAATTATGACAAAATGGTTCATCGGTCTTTGCTTGTGAGTCTGTCAATCAATTCTTGCAGTGGGGCTAGTTCTTTGCGGTCAATGAGGTTGAACTCTTGAACAAAGAAGATGAAATGTTTGAAGCTGGTGTTCAAATGGGCCTCCTCGCTCAGCTGCACCACTTCTTTGAAATGCTGGTGGTAAATATGGGCATAGACTCGGAAAAGGCGCTTCAGGATCGTTTTTGCAATGGATAGGAAATTCTTTGGGAAAGGAACACCTGTAGAAAAGGACATATTTAATGAGTATGAATTAATGTTTAAACAGCTGACTGTGTACATATTTCAATTCTTCTAACACAGTGGCTTTCAACCTTCCTAATGTGGCTACCCTTTGATACAGTTCCTAATGTTGTGGCGATCCCTAAACATACAATTATTTTCGTCACTACTTCATAACTTCAGTATATATGTTTTTTTGATTGTCTTTGGTGACCCCTGTGAAAGGATCGCTCGACTCACAGATTGAGAACTGCTATTCTAGAACAAGTAATCCCTTTTGTGTTCACTCTAAAAGGACAGCTGACACTCTCTTTTGTGGTTTACAGCTAGGCTGCAATATCTGCGTAATTTTGGCCCAACAAATCCAATTTCAGCAAACCTCTAATTAGTAACTTGTTATGACATGCTTGTTGAGGAGGTAAATGTATTGTGCCTGTTTATAACACAGCTGCCATATTTGCACCTTTCGGCTGATATATGCATTTGTTACCTGGGTTAGTCTTCCCGGTCAGTTTCGTGGGACATCGCAAGACATTTGTAGCCTCATTATGTGTCGTGACTTCATCATGCCCTGATCCACAGGTATTGTTCCTAGAGTACCAGAGCAACCAGGTGCAGATTGGTCAAGCCTCAAGGGGAGGCAGAGCATGGGCATTCTCACCTTCCAAAGAGATTTCACAAATGCAGAGCCGATACATGGCACTCTAGTCCTGGGCTCACCCAGGGAATCATCATGCGCTGAACATTATTGCTTAACCTCACATACGTATCTTGAGTCTCCTACTCAATACTGGCTATGCCCATTAGGGATCCCCAGTAAGCAGTCTGCAGACATAAGACTTCTTCTTCGCAACCACCAGCTGTTAAGTCTGGTAGAAAGTTCTGGTTATTCATCCACTTTTGGACTGCAGTCCTGTTTCAGAACCTGAGTGTTGTATGCAGACTGCAGATTCCTTGCCTCTTAGACAGATGCACTTCGACTTTGAAAGAAGCTCTCAATTAGTTGACTCTTACGACATGCTTTTGGGTAGGCAGTAGGTCTATTCTTGTTTTCCCTATAATAGGGCCCCGGTGACATCATATAAGTTTAAAGATGGTCGCCCCACAAGTTTTAAGGTGGCATGACTTCTGTGACAGACTGTTCATGATCGGGCCAGGCACACCTAGTGACCCCAGAGCCGTTTTTGAAACTTCCTATTCCACTCAAATACTTGCTGGACTGAGTCACCATACTGTACCTTCATTAGCTGTTGAATTTCTAAAGGTTTTACCACCTCACTGATAATAAAATGAATAAAACTGCTCCTCTTTGATGCACATGACAAGTGGGGTGGCCATCTTCAAACTATCCTATGTTGTCACCATGTATGTACTGTCAGGACACACACTCAACACTCTTAACAACAGTAACAATACTGACAGGCTACAAGACAACAGCCTGGTTAGTTTTATTTCTATCACACTTTTTAGGTTTTCATTTGAAGTCCCCTTTGTATGTTTAAAAAACGGGGTGCGGGAGGTGGGGGTGGAGGAGGTCAGTGGATATATCCTTCTCCCCATAATATGGCCCCCAAGTTCTCACATGGGGAGGACAGTCTGAAGAAGTGGAAAGAAATTCTCCCCAAAATGTCAAAATGTATGTAGAAGTAGATATTGGTAGCATCGTCAAGATTAATGGGCCATTAATCTCCTGAATTTATAAATAATGAAACAGTCAATGAGTGTTGATGAATTTCCTAACTCTTTCCATCCCAAGCAATACACAGTGTGTGATGACACCATGCCTTGGTTTCCTTCCAAAGCATAATGCCATCTCTTAAATTTTACTTTTAGTCAGAACAAACTAAATAAATCTGGCTTCTCCAATGTAATTACTAACTACTGTATTGACTCTTGGAAAGTAATGTGTTCATGCTTTTTTACCAAGCTTGTTTCTTGAGTTTGGCATCTCATGCCAAACCTTCTGGTACTGAAACAGTTAACAACAGACACATTCTTACCAATCTTGGACGGGAACAAAGATTCATCATCCAACTGGTCCTGGACCCACGTCATGAGATAATCGATATATTTTGGAGCTGAGCATTTGATGGGTTTTTTAATTGTCTGTCCATCCGCCCAGTGGTACTCATATTTCGGACCAGCTGACATCACAGGGCAGGTTTCCTCTAGACAAAACTCTGTGATCGTCCCATATAGCATGTTGATTTGATTGAAAAAATCCACAGCTGCAGAGAGGGAGGAGGAAGAAGTAGAAAATTAGGCGTTTAAACGATTATTATCAAACTAAAACATCTCATTCAATGATCAATAATTAAAATCTGCACAATGAAGTATTTTATGATGTACTGCTAACTTCTTCTCCTTCTTCCCATTCACCAGCTGTAATCTCTGGCCGAAAGTTCTGGTTGTTAATCCACTTCTGGACTGGAGTCCTGTTTCAGAACCTGAGTGTTGCGTGTGCATCCGTTTTACAGATGTGACTCATTTGTATGCAGACTGCTGGTTCCTTGCCACTCAGGCAGATGCACTCCAACTTCAAAGGAAGTACTGCTAACATTTTCTCACTTTTAATGGTAGTCTCTGTTCATTAAGGTCCCATTTTGCAGAAGAAGAAAAAAGAATAGATACACTGGCCCGTAATATGGGAACAAGAGGGAAGAAGAAGCTTGTTGTACCAGGTGACTAACTGGGGGGTGTTTTCTTCAAAGTCAAAGTTAATCTGTCTGAGAGACGAGGAACCAAGAGTCTGCAAACAAATAAGCCAGATCTGAAAAAGAATGCGCACACACAACTCAAATTCTCATTCTTTTTGTTCGTCCGAGTGACATAATTGCATTGTGCTTATTGCAGCAGAGATGTCATATTTGCGCTTTTCCGCCGGCATATCCAACTTTATTTCGCATTTGTTGACCCGGGCATGTCGTAGGCTTATTTGTGTGGTGTTAACTTTGTCCCCATATCTACAGGTGTTGCCCCAGGAGAACCCGTCCAGGTCAACCACATGTAGACTGGCCAGCACTCAAGGGAAGGCAGGGGCAGATCGTGGGCATTCTCCGCCATCCAAAGAGACTTCTATAAATGCAGAGCCGATATATGGTGCTCTGGTCCTGGGCTCAACCAAGGAATTGTCATGTCCTGCACATGACTCATTAACCTCTTATCCGTAGATTGAGATTTCCACTCGTCACTGTGCCCTCAGGAGATCAGCAGAGAACCGCCTGCAGATCCAGGACTTTGCTGACCACACAAATCAGTACGGACTTCCGGTGTAAACAGCCACAATGGCGGTACGCTTTTTCGTCCGTTGAGGCGAATAGCGCAAATTAGCTATTTTCGCTCACGTATAATGTGAAAGTTTCATCGGAATGGGGTCTGAACCGTGCAATGGAGTACATGCACGTGAGTTTAGACTTCCCTCAGGGTGTATTCGACGTCCGATGACGACTATTTACCAATTCAAAACAACCCGTAGACGGACAAGGAGAACGCGAACAGGCAAGCACGGTGGCGCCTGCAGGAAGCGACTGAAATGTGAGAGACTCAGCTTAAAGTATGTTCGTGTTCTCTACTGGAACTGCGCTTCGTTTAGTCAACGCCGACCCATTTTTGAGAAGCTCCTCTACAGCAACGACATTGTTGTCCTACAGGAAACACACCTCGGTGATGAGATCGTTAAAATTTCGAGCTTCCAATCCTTCTACAATAGACGGGCACTCGCGGACAGCTCATTCTTGTTCGTGACCACATACCAATGTCTGAGGTGGACATGTCTAAGTGGAATAATGAGGACTTACAAGTACACGCAGT